GATTAAGGAAGCCATGTTGATTTGTAGAGAGCAGATTGTTATCATTGATGTGCTTCAAGATTTTATTCTTTACAACTTTTTCAAATATAACGCAACAGAGGTAAGTGAAATAGGGCAGAAATTAAAAACTGGCTACCTCTGTAGTAACATTGGTTTAATCAACCAATTTTTAGGGACACACAAAAACAATGATCCAAACATTTTTTTTTCTTTTCTTGATTTTTAAGTTACAAAATTTATCATTTATTTGATATGCAAAAAAATTGAGGAAATTCGGAAATTATCGTATGTAATATGAAGATTTAGTGAAAACCCGGGTATTTTACCCCTGAAAATCCCGCACTTAAAAAGGCAAATTTAAAATAAATATTTTTTTAATTAACTAATGCTAACTTGTTTCGGTTAAGAAATATTTAAATTTTTTTTTTAGAAAAGTAAGTAAAATCTTATTTCTGCTTCGCGACGCATAGTGTTCTCTTGCAGTACGCATAGTGCGCTGTCAGAGTCCTATTTATTTTTCAGACCTGCATCCTTTAGATCATGCACTACTGTACCAATAAATTGAAATCAATCGTTCAATTACATTTTCAATTTTGCAGAAATATTATATCCGCTGAATCAATTAAAAAGATCACGATAACGAAGACATGCTTTTATTTTATAGGAGCAGAAACAACTGTCTAAACTCTAGCCCCTTGGTTTTGTTACGAAGTTGAAGGCTAAAATGTGTTTGTTTTCAGGGCAGCTGAAAGAAAAATATATGGCTCTGGCTACAATTTTTTTTTAACTTATGGCCCAAACTCCCAAGTTTTTTCCTCCATCTCTGGCGACCTTAATTACTCTAAAAAACTTCAATTACGAATTTGATGTATTCCAGAATAATCATTTTCTGGAAAAAATGGTTATATTTACCAGATTTCCAGAAACCATATAGACAGAATGGACGGAAGACCATTCTGAAACCTATAACACAATTTTTAAATTAAAAAATTAAACTGAAGAGAGCAAAGGAACCGGCAGGTTTTAATGGCTCCGGTTCCCAACGATAGTTTTTTGCAATGTAAAACACTTCTTTTGATAACAGGTTGTATGCATTTAAATAATAACTGATTGCAACAATGGGTGGGACAGTGTAATTTCAACAAGACTGGAAAAAACGCGGAATAGTAGCAGCTCTCAACAAAATATATTAGTCTAATTTTTTTTAAATTAATGATTATAAACATTCAAATCACAAGCTAAAAAAAAAAAAATTGCCAAAAACTTCATAAATAAGTACAAAATTACAAAACAAAAAAAAAATAATATTATGACAAATATATAGAAACATGTTATAAAAGACAAAAATAATTCTATAGACAGCCTCAAAGTATTCTCTTTCACAAAAACCGATGATGCTAACGTAAAATATAAATCTACTTCTAAAACGAATCGAAACAATTCAGAAATGGTAGCGATAATTAAACTTATTAAACAATAGATCATCAAAGAATAATTATCGAACAACTTGAATTTATTGATAAAACAAAACTGTTTGAATTTATCGATAACGTATAAGATATATTGAATTTATCAGATATAAATGCCCTAAGTTATCGATAACTAAAAATTGTTTATATTCATCGCTAGTAAAAAATGTTTTCTTTAGCTGAGGAAATAGACAATCTATTAACAAATCATCAAAATAACTCGAAAAAATCAAGTATATCTTGAGAAAACTTTTTAGAAAATATTGAATATTTATATATACAGCGTTATAAGTCACGAAACATGTCGTTTTAATATTTAAAATATAAAGCGGTAAAAACATACAAACCGACACCATCGCTGGAGAATTTTCGCCACTTAATATTTCGGCAACCATTGCGCGACTAGCTAGTTTGAAAAAAAAACAAAAAAAAAACAAAACGAATTTGCACAAGCAATTAACTGCTAATCTACGAATCTACGTCATTTATTCGTTTTACGCCATCTAGTAGTGGTGAAACTAATAGCCCATTTTATGATTTTGGCAAAAAGGAGATCCGCGCGATACAAAAAAACTGTTTCCTTCAAGACGTATATTGCAAGCCTAATGAAAGATAAAACAAGAGTTATAATTATTTTCACAAATATATAACAATCAGAAAGATTCAATGCTATTATAAGCATATATTTAATAATTTTTCAGCCTTAAAAAAATATCACATCAATAAATACTTAAATAAGAAAAGATTTCTTGTACACTAAACTAGATTTAGTATTGGCAAACAAGTCTTTGCTGAATAGGCAAACTATCTTAAGTGATATATATATATATATATATATATATATATATATATATATATATATATATATATATATATATATATATATATATATATATATATATATATATATATATATATATATATATATATATATATAGAGAGAGAGAGAGAGAGAGAGAGAGAGAGAGAATAAAATATATTAATTTCTTACTTCACAAACAAAACACTCAGAATGCCAATTTTTGTTTAGTGCTTCCACATACTTTTCTCCGCCTGTAATTGCTCGGGCGCATCTTCCACATTTCACGCTAAACAAATGTTCGTGACATTGCTCACAATATGGCCTTCCTAAAAAAATAATAAAAAATTTTTATTATTAGGCAAATAATTTTTAGGCAAAGAATAAGGAGACTTTAACTTAAAAATCTAAAAGGAGAATGCAAAATAATTTACCTGAATCAACCAAAAAACCATCATTGCCAAAACTTCTGCTGCAAAATGAACAAACAAAATGATCTGGATGCCAGCTTTTTCCTAAAGCATTGATACAATTCTATAAAAAGAAAAAATAATATATATATAAAGTTTTAAGTATACAGTTTAAAAGAAATTTTTTAATGCAAACTATGCGTTCATCATCATCATCATCATCATCATCATCATCATCATCATCATCATCATCATCATCATCATCATCATCATCATCATCATCATCATCATCATCATCATCATCATCATCATCATCAACCATTTTAAAAACACAATTAATATTTTCAAGGTTATGACATATTCAACAGCACTTTTAAATCTCAATCTCAATTATTTTATAATTAAACAATAAATCTTAATTTGCATCATTTCAGAAAATTCATGAAAAAATAATAAAAATAAATAAAGATAAGAAATGAATAGATAATATATATATATATATATATATATATATATATATATATATATATATATATATATATATATATATATATATATGAGCCCATTTGCAAAAAAGTCAGAATAAACTCATTTTAAAAAAAAAAAAAGAAAAACTAAACTACTCTTAGTTGCGCATCAACAAAAATAGATGTTTGCTTTGTGTATTTTTAGGACAAAAATTTTCTAATTAGTCTAATGTTTAAACATGATTATAAAGATCATGCATTCTAGTATATAGAATGCGGAAATGAAATTAACTCAAAATTTTTATTTTTGTGACTGCCTGTTTTGCAGAAAGGTACCTCATATCTATATCTATCTATCTATCTATCTAATTATCTATCTATCTATCTATCTATCTATCTATCTATCTATCTATCTATATATATATATATATATATATATATATATATATATATGTATATATATATATATATATATATATATATATTTATATATGTTTTTTTAATTAATTTTATTGTGCCTTTTTTTAAAAAAATGCACAATAAAATTTTTAGATTCATATTTTTGTGTATTTCAGAGTAGGAAAAAAAACCTTTTAATATCATAGTAATGGGTCAAACTGCTTTTTTAGTTTTATACTATTAGTTATTCTAATTTTTAGCATACAAATCATGAAGTATATGTACTTTCTTTACACTTATGGGTGTAGTGGATATATTATGTGTTTAAAGTGTTTAAAACATTAAAATACAATATATCATTTAGAAAATACAAGTCAAAAAAATTTATTTTAAATGCAAATTCAAAAATATTACAAATCAAATTAACATACAAAATATTGTCAAACTAAATAGGAAACCGAGAAAAAAGTAGAAAAAAAGCAGAAACTTACACCAAAACAAAAATATATACTACAACCTTACAGGTACATAAATATATAAAAAAATAAATATCTTAGCATAACAGTACTAACTGTTAAGTTAACAGTTGGTTTTTATTACTATTATTTCAAGTAAAAGTTTAATATTTTTTACGGAAATTTTACTATTAAAGCTTAACAAATTTTAAGATTTTGAATTCTAAGATATTTTGAATAAGAATTTGAATGCAAACTTTAGGATTACAAAGAAGTTTTGAAATTTTAATTCTTCACCAAATATTTAATTTTTGAAATTAAGTTTCAGTTTTTTTAATAACACAAATTTTTAGTATCAAATTGCTGTATTTTTTTAAAAAAGTATGAATTTTATGAGAAAACATATATATTCAATCATTTAAACATGCACCGAGCATTGATAAATATATAAATCAAAAATAATTTGTGTAAATCTTTCAAAAAACATTCAAAAATTTTTTTTTTTGAAATATTTTTGCTATTATAAGTACTATTATTGTACTTTTTAATTCTTAAAATTAATTTTTAAAAAATTGCCAAAAGAAGTTTTTCTTTTAAATTGTTAAAAATAATTTTAAATGATGCTAAAACATTGGGCAACCTAATAAAACAAAATTTAAAATTGTTTAAAAATATTTTAATCGATTTTTCAAAACAATAAGTTCAAGTTCTTTTTTTAATGTTGAGGCTAAACTAAAAATAAAGAAAAAATAACATCCCTGACAAATAGTATCCCTGATAAATAATAACAAGAAAACATTAATACCATAAATACATAAAAACATAAGAACCATAATATATAAAAAATGCAATAAAAAAGCTATTATAAAAATATAAATATCAAAAAAAAAAAAAAAAAAATTCTACAGATAAATAAAAAATTTATAAAAAGTTAAAAATCCAATTATGAATATTATAAATATATAATTATAAATAAAAAAGAAATAGATGTCAATATTTGTCATTGTCATCAAAAGTCATCGCAAAACTTGCATTGGATGACTAATATTAAGTTGCCTCATCAAGTCTTTTTTCTTTCGCTGAGCTATTTCAACTTCATCTTGAAGATTGAGGTTTGCAACTCTTTGCTGTAAATGCTCGCTTTTTAGCATTTCTTCATATAGCCTTAGAGATTCTAAATGCTGTTCAGCAAATACCTTGCGAGTTTCGACTTCTTCTACAGCAAATTCCAGTAGTTTTACTTCTTCTAACATTGTTACACCTGTCTGAGTTCTTGATTCCTGTTTTCGTTTTATTTCTTTAATACGTCTATTCATTTCATCTAAAGTGGTTTGCAACTCATTCATTTTAATATGCAAGTTGCATCGTCGTTGTTGAGCAACTTCTAGACGTTCACATTTTAGCTTATAGCCTGTTGTTATTTCCGCTAAAGTTGATTGCCAAGAATATAACTTACACTTGGCTGTATCTAAATCACTCTGCAAAATCTGCATGTTTGCAGCAAACTTTTCATTTGCACTGCGCAAATTTACTCCAGCAGCCAACATTTTTTGCTTTAATTCAAGTGCTTGGCTTACTTTGACTATTTCTTTTTCACATAAAGAAATTTTTTCTTCAAGTGATTTGCGATCTGAATTAGCTTTACTTATTGCTATACGCGCCTTTTTTATACGTGCATTGTTCTCACTAATCTGTCGAGCAGCTGCATCAGTGGAACTATTAACCTCATTTAACTGCTTCATCAACCAATTGATAGATAAAGAACATTGCAGGGGATCAAACACTCTATCTGCTGATGCCAAGCACATGTCACAGATGATGTCATTTGTCGCTGTCTATAAGAATTGTAATTAGTATTTATGAATGATGGTTAATATTGAAGGTGCGGTCAGAAAAGATGGTGTCAACTGTCAGCGCATCAATACATAAGAACCCACTAACATCCACAAACTTCTAAATTCTTTTACCCACACTTTCTGATCGCACCCCCTGATTAAATAGTTTTATATTAAACAGAAAATTAGAGAAAATTAATACAGGGGGTGCTATTAAAAACACAATGAAAACTTGATTGAATCAACTTTATAACATGACATGATATATTCACATTAGAACAAAAAATTGCACACAAAAAAATGAACATACATTAATAAGATACTTACTCCAATAATAGCATTGTTACAATGAGCACACTTAGGAGCAAAGTATTGATTGTAGCATTTTTCACAATAAAGTGAATTATTTTCCTCTACAAAAGCTTGGTTTTGAAGCGACGTGTTACACGCAGAGCAGCAAAAATGTTCTGGGTGCCATGTCCTACCTATGGCACTAACAAACGGTCCTCTAAAAAAAAGATTTTTTTTTACTGTTTATCTTTTGTTGTTTTTTTCAATCTAAATTAATAATCATTCTGACAATATTACATCTAAAGTGACTCAATTTGTTGACAACTAATATTTGAGGTTTTATAAAAATTAAAAGAAAAAAAAAAAGACTAAAAGAGAGGAGTAAATTCAATATATATTTTTTTTAATTTTATGTAAAAGAAAAAAAACTAATTGATGATCTTTAGAATTGCCTGGCATTGTTGCCAAATTAATGGCCTTTATGTCAATTATAAACTTAATTATTAAAATTTTATTAAAAATTGTTAAAAAATTTAAATAATTATTATAAATATAAAAAGCTAATAATTGTAACTTATTTTGGTTCTGTGCGGTAGTCAACTATGCTAAAATTTTGCATACAAAAACAAAAAATACATACATCAAAGGCTGTTCACAAGCATGGCATACCAATCCTTTCTGTGGGGTTACTGTAGTACTCTGTGGACTACCTTTTGTCATAATTTTATTGATATTTCCAGCTGGCTGAGGTGGCGGGTTGCCATAAGATTGTGGAGAAAATCTTCCAGGCCCACCAACAGGTTGTTGATAAGAGTTGGTTGGTGAAGAAGGTTTATTGCTTTCATAAGTTTGTTGAGGAGATGGATACTGGCTGTTAGCTAACAGTCGTGAATTTGGATTTTGAATTTCTTGTGCATTGACTGCAGGTGGAGGAGGTGGCTTATTTGAATATGTTTGAACTGGATTAGCTTTAAAAGTAGGTGCCGCAGCTTTTCCGACTTTGAAGTTTGGCCCAGAAGCCATAGAAGACTTTGGAGCTGGATTGACGTATCCTTGTGGGGATGTTATTTTTTTCGGAGGTCCAGCATAAACTGGTTGTCCTCTTTGCCCAGGTGGCTGACTAAAAACTGTCTTTATTTCATCTAAAAAAAAAAATGAACTATTGACAAATACATAATCTATAACTATTAAATTTATTTATTTCTTACACATACAAAACCACACACAATGACTGATTTCCATGATATATTTTCTTACTTAATTATGATATTGAAGATTCTAAGCAAATTCTTACAAATAAATACCCTTCCTGGCATTAGCCTGTTTTGAAAATCAGGACTGAAATTCTTATTATGAAACCATTGTTAAAAAGATTATGGTTTAATACAAAAAAAACAACATAAAAACAAAAAACAAAAAACAAAAAAAACAAATTTTGATTTAAATTTATTTTATTATATTTAAATTAAAAAAAAAAAAAATTAAAAAACTCCATTTTACAACTTTTTTGTTTTACCTTTAAAATTTCCAAACTATGTTAAAAAAAAGAAAGTTCTTTTTATCAAATTTAAGTTACTTTTATGTTCGTTTTACTTTTTTAAACTTATTTAGTTTTAAAACCAATAAATTTTTTCCAACCTGTTAGGAAAGTGCTAATATATTAAAGTGCCCAATGCAATTATAACTGTATATGGATTGTAATGGATTGATGGATATTTATAATGGATTGCTGGATAAGAAATAATTGTAGTTTAATTTATAATTAATAATAAACCAAAGTTTTTTAATAATATAATCGTTTTAGATTGATCATAGAATGAACCTTAAATAGAAACAATTAACTAGTATTAGACAAAATTTTATGAAAGCCAAAATGTTAAAAAAAAGAGTTGATAGTTTTTTTTTATCAAACAATATTTTTTTAAGTCAAAGATTTCAATGATTTTTTAATGTATTTTCAAATTAAATTTAATTACAATACACTTCTTTAAAATACACAACTGACATAATTTAACTTTTAACATTGTAAATATGTATTTTAGTGTGGCTTGAAATTTTTCTCAAATCCAGTTGTAATAGTGAAAATATGTTGTCTTATTGGTTCAGTTACAATTCTGTTAAATATTATTCTTTTTTTTTTTTAGTGTAACAGCCTGCACATCAATCCTGAAGTTTGATATAATTGTATAAAAAAGTGGTTTGAAGCTACTACAGCGTAAACAATTTAACAAATTTACTTTGTGAACTAAGCGTATATTATTATATTACTGTTAAGTAATGTAGAGTTATTGAATCCACCTTGTTTACAAATAGTTTTGCTTTTATTATTTTAAGAGGGTACTTAAAAGTTGTTGCATACGAATTGTGTCATCCTATAGGGTAACTGTTTAGCTTGGTTTTAGCAAGACAAAATTATAAGAATACAGCTGTGTGTGCAACACATTCATTAAATAATTTTCTCTACACTAACTAATAAATCATTATGGAAACTAGAAGACAAAGTCATCAGAGCCATATATACAAAAACCTGCAAACATTACGGTATTTACGACAGAGCAGCCATTGCGATTGTTTCTTCAGTATTGCACAATATATTTTTGGATATTGAAGTGATCGATAAATCATAAATACGGCAGGAAAGGAAAAAAGAACGTAATGAATTATATAAACAACAAATGCAGCTTCTTATACCAGCTTTGCATTTTGATGGACGAAAAGACAAGACGCTAAATATTGTGAAAAAAAGAGCAAAAAGGTACAGACAAACAGTGATTGAGGAACATACACCTGTTTTTAAAGAACTAGATTCAGTTTATATTGGTTACGCTACGCCAGTTTGAGGTACTGCCAAAGGTATTGAAACATTGATTAATGGGCTTCTCTTATTACAAAATATTAATGGCTATTTAACATAGATGAGTATTTGACTTTATGAAAATTCCGGAAAATTATTTTATTAAAAGTTGTTCCTATTAACTTAAAACAAAAACTTTCGTAAACTTTTAAAATGGAATTAAGATTTAACTTTTTACAAAAAGGAATATCTAATATTTGATAAAGTTAATTTGAATAAACTAAAAAGCAAAAATATATATATATATATATATATATATATATATATATATTAGATATATTGGAAAAAAAATTGTTACGAAAATTGATCTAGTGAAATTTTTAACTATAGAAAACATTTGTTTAAATGCAAAAATTTTTTTTTTTTTATTTTATGTAAAAATATATAATTTTTTTAAAACAAATTAATAAAAAAAAACATTTGGAAATTTCTGAAAAAATAAAGTGAATTTCCCGGAAAAAACTTATCTATGATTTAATATATAAATATTAATGGATGATTTAATGGCTATTGGTTGTGATGGTACAGTCTAGTGACTGTACCATCAGGAAAATTCAATGGTGTGATTAGAACCTTTGAGAAAAGGCTTCAACACCCCTTACAGTGGATTATTTGCATGCTACATTTAAAGGAGTTGCCTTTGAGACATCTATTTATCAAATTAGACGGTGTTACCACTGGCCCATCCTCACATACTGGTCCTTTTGGCAAATCATTAGAAAATTAAGAAAAATTACCAATAATAAACTATGAAAATACAAAGCGAACACAAGTCAAATTTAAAATCTGAGTAAAGGTCAAAAATACTTATATGAAATAATAATGGCAGTTATTAGTGGCAAATGCTCTGATGATTTGAGTAACAAACCCCTGAGTAAGATGTCCCATGCCCGATGGTTAACAAAAGCAAATAGATCCCATAATTCAATGTAAAGTCTATTTTGCCCACCCTGAAAATTTGCTTCTGTTGATGTTGTGTGATGAACGCAAAATAGTAAGGGAAGCTGCCAGGAGGATACTTATAGCATGAAATTCACCGCATACAGGAAAGATACCTTGTGTTTGAAGTGCTGCAAATAAATTTTGATTCCAATAGTTATTTTGAACTCATTAATTGGCAACAAAATTATTTCGATCCACCAATTCTTTGACACACCACTAATCAGAAAACAGTGACGGAAGCATCTACGTCCTTATGCAATAAAAAATCAAGGTTTCATATGAGCGAAACTTGCATCCAGAAAACTTATGCCCTGATTTGACAGTAAAAAAGATTTTGTGGTCAAAACATAATCAGTTAGATTTCATTTTACAGTATATTGATGTATATTAATACTAAATTTTAGTACTATGTTTATTGTTTATGCATTATATATTTTATTTCTTCATTTTCTATTATTATATAATTGTTTCTTAATAAAATATAAACATTTAACCAAACTTGAATCACATGCACAGGCTAAAGATACAACTTAATATAACTTTTTATAGACCTAAGACAACATAATATCACTATTAGAATATAATCAAATAGCTTTTATTTTTTTCCTATATATAACGAACCACCCTAATGTATATTGAGTAAAGTTATATTTACTTGTGAAACGCTTTTCCGTTATGCAACAAAATCTCATAACAAGGCCTATATATATATATATATATATATATATATATATATATATATATATATATATATATATATATATATATATATATATATATATATATATATATACACACACACACACACATATATATAAATATATATAAATATATATATCTAAATATATATATATATATATATATAAATATATATATATCTAAATATATATATATATATCTAAATATATATATATATATATATATATATATATAAATATATATATATATATATCTAAATATATATATGTATATATATATAAATATATATATATATATATATATATATATATATATATATATATATACACACACACACACATGTATATGTATATAAGCTCTGCTGAGAGTAGTAAGGTGTTTCTTGCACCTAAACACATGTAAATTAATTTATGAGGGCAAAAAACCTTCCCCAAATTTATTTAAACTTTTTTAAAAATTTAAAAAAAAGTTTTTTAGGGTGAGTATAAAATTTTTTGAGGTAAAGTTTTTTAGGGTAATATTTCATGTATGTAAACAAAAAAGTAAAAATTTGTATGTAAACAAAAAAGTAAAAATTTAAAATTTTGAAAAGTAATATTTTTTAATTTTGTTATTATCATGAAAAATGAAAAATTTAAATTTAAATTTACTCATAGAGTAGAACGTAATCCAAGATAAAAAAATTGTTTCAACAAATAAAAAAAAATTCAAATCTTTGGAGATGATATAAGCTTATGTAGAAGAAAACTAATAGTAGAAAGCTCTTCAACAGCTTTGTTGCAGAGCTACTTATATTTTCCCTCTCAATTTATAATATATTAACACTAATTTATATAAAGTCAATAGAGAATTGGCATAATAAGTAAGATGTAATTAATAGACCAGTAGAATAAAAAGTGTGATGTAATACATTATGATAAAATCTAATTAATTTTTAATTTTAAAATTTTTTTATTTAAAATATTTTTATTTATTACGAACAACTATATCAATTAAAGAACAACAACAACAACAAAAACCTGCAGTTCCTGCTTCAATATGATGCTGCATTGATTTAAATGTTCCTCCAGATTTTGGTGCCTCGTGTTCATGATCAAACATATCAGGTGGAGGAGGAGGCAAATCTGCAAATAGAAAAAAAAAGTTGTCAAGTATACTGGAAATACTTTTGAAGTGTGGGAAAATTGCATAATTACACAAATATAACATAGAATTTACAAATAATACTTTTTATGTATTTATTTTCACCTAATTGTGTACTTTTACACACACACACACACACACAAATAGTTGTTGTGTACTAGGACTTATATAATGAGATGTTAAAACTCAATCGATCAAATTCAACATGATTGATCAAACTTAAAGACAAATTAAAAAGCTTAAGAAAATTATTTAAATTAATTCATTTACAATAAAAAAAAAAATAAAATAAAATAATAATAATCAAAACAGATTGATTTTGAAACATGGTTTAGGACTTTTATTAAAAATAAACTTAAAAAATTAAAAAAATTAATCCTACTTAAAACATTACTAGTAAAAATTTTTTATTTTCAAATTCATCAAAATAGAAAAGTTACCATGACACCAAGTACTGTAATATGTCAAAAAACATCATGATAATAATGATAATATAAATAATAATAATAATAAATAATTAAAATAATAATAATAACAACAAAAAAACAATAACAATAACAACTATAACAAATTTTTATGATTTGTGACATGTTTTGTCACACATGTGACACGGTGTGACAGTTATATATCACAAAGAAAATAAATTGAAGTAATAGAAAGAATGAGGAAATAAACAGATTTTTCTCAATGATTACCGTCATCTGCATCATCAGTTATCTTCTGCAAAAGTTTGAATGAGCGAGAAGTTGTGTTACCAGTACTACTTAGACCAGTTGTTCCTCGATTTTTTAAATCCTCCATTACTTGACGTGAACCAGGTGAAACTTAAAGAAAACTTCTTTTTCAAAGTTTTATGAAATGTGCCAATAAGAAATAAATGATAAATTTTAAAAACTGATTTAAAAGGTATATAAAAAAAGAACAAGATAAGTGAATATGCTAAAGAATGTGCTAAAGTGCATAAGTGCAACAAAAAGTAAATATATTTAAAAATAAGCATTCAAAACAATTATATATTTTTTAAACAAATGTGTAAAAATAAAGCAATTTGTATTTCTGAAGAGAGACAATCAATCATAATTTATGATAATTTATGGTATAAGAGTAATTCCAAGTAAAAGTAGGACAAAAAATTTTGTACTCACCCCTCCCCCACCTCTCTAAAATTTTTAACTCACCCCCTCCATCCTTTGTAAGATCATCCTGATGTAAAATATGAAAGAGACGTAACATTCTACTGTAAAAATGTTGAAAGAGTGTTGATCATTCTAATGTAAAATATGAAACATATGTTAGATCATTCTAATGCAAAATAAGGTTTTGGCCTCTTAAAGCTTAATAAAGAAATTTAGATCAAGACTATAATTCATAATGAATTTTGTGACTTTTTCATAAACTAATTTAAATTTATATATATATTAATTTATATTAATCTAGAAATTTGTTCAATTTCAATATACGATTTAATTACTGAAATTAAATCGTATATTGATAAGAAATTAAACAAATTTCTAGATTTTTGGCTTATGTACTTTATGTATGACCCCTTATTTACTGAGTTATTTGGTAATCATTTTTATTGGTTTAATATGTATACTTTTTTCCATTAATATTTTTCTGCAAAATCTTCAACTTTTTTATATTTCCTCCAGAGATATATTATAAAATTTATCTTTTGAAAATGAAAAATATTATATTATAAAACATGTCAAGAATTAAAAATATTGTGTTATTTTTCAAAATATTTATGTATAAAATTCAAGTTATTATAGAAATTAAGAAATGTTATACTATTCTATTATCAAACAAAGTTAGGCCAGAAAGTGAATGTCATCTGACAATATACATTGCTTGGATATGAATACTTTTAATTCCTGAATATGAAAGAGAAATGTTATTGTGGAGGACATTGAGAAGATAAGTTATTATTTTGATATTGATTGTTACTGGGTAACAATAATCAATATCAAAATAATAACTTATCTTCATCATAAACATGTTTATTTAAAGCTTTTGGCAACACAATGTTGCAATGTTGCAACCCTTCAAATACACATAACAAAGCTAAATAAAAGTGATAAAACAGAAGTGATTTTATTTTAAAATATTCACACTTTGAAAGTGTAATGTAGCAATATTCATTATAATAATCAGAAAAAAAAAAAAAAAAATTCCAGACAACTTTTAGTCACAGATAACCTGTTAACCTTTTTATAAATATTGAAAAAGCTCATTTTATTTTAAAGGCAGTCTTTGTGAAATCAAATTCGATACAGCTAAAAGTCTCTATGTAAGTAAAGACATATTTCTAAGTAGTAAAGATATATCTCTAGTTCCCGGTGGCATATTTTAAAACCCAATACAGACTCAGAAAAGGCAGAGTTATGCACAATTTGATTGGTTGATTTTGAAGGTGAGGCATGTGTGCATTTGTTAAAATCAAAACAAACATCAAAAAGCCTATTGAATAATAAAAGTCAAGTTGAATAAATGCATAAAATGACAAATAATAATAAAAAATATATATGATTTTGTATCAAATTTTGTACATTATAGTACTTATGCTTTTATAAAACTTCACAGCTCGAAACATCCATGATTTTCAAAATATTATCACAGCTCGAAACATCCATGATTTTCAAAGTATTATCACAGCTCGAAACATCCATGATTTTCAAAATATTATCTTAAAAATAAAGATTTAAAAAATGTAGTTTGTTTTCTTAATGATTTGTATAACTCTAAGACGTAAAAAAGATATTCATATGAATGTCTTTTTTACATCAACTAAAGGTAAAGTGGTAGAAACAATGATCATTGCAATTTATATTAATCTAGATCACAATGATCATTGCAACAATGAATGTCTTTTTTATATCTTAGAGTGTTTGCAGTTTTTCTTGTTTCTACCAGTATGTATGTTTGCAGTTTTTCTTGTTTCTACTACTTTACTTTTAGTTTTCAATAAATTATTGAGACCTAAAGGTAAAGTGTAAGAAACAAGAAAAACTGCAAACATACAAATTCATGTTGCTGTTTCAATTTCAAAAGTCAAAACATATAAAACACATGTTTGTTGATATATAGCTGTTAACCTGAACAAAATATTGGTTATTGTATTCTATAAATGGTAAAAAATGTCTGCCCTCTAATAGCAGCTGATGGTAATTAATATCACACAAAACAAAAAATATTGATAAATTTTATATTTATAATGCTATTATGTTTTTCACATAAATTTATCTCACATTAAATACTCCCAAAGAAATTAAAATTATGTTTACCCTAGAAAAATGAAAAAATTTAAATAAAATGAATTCTTTATTTCCAAATTTTTAAATATAATACTTTATTTTGTAATTTGGTATAACCAATCGAATTAAGTGTGCTTTTTTTGAATTTCTAAAGTGCCGTGTTATATTTTGAAGTAGTATTCATAAATTTTTATTGAAAACTTGTTTCTTCAAATAAAAAACCTTGTTTTCATGAATTTCTTTTTTATTACAATGCTATAATTCACCTTCATTTGGTTTAACTTTATTGACTCTTCAATACTTTTTGGTAGCTAGTGATGTCAATGCTTATATGTAATTGTACAAAAAAACTGTTCAGTAGAAAAACAAATACCACTTTTTTTTTTAATTTTTTAAATAGATTTTCGATATCAATTTGTCATCCTATTTATACATAAGTTCAAATACCCTGCCAAATTTTCTAAATTTTCAAAAAATGTTTATTAGTTTAAGGATATTTAGTTATTAGTGTTAAGTAATGAAAAATATTGATTTTTTAAAATAAAAAAATCAATATTTTTCATTCTTAAATTTAGATGAAAAAACAACTTCTTTAGAGTTCGTAGATTCACACATGTGAATCTACAAACTCTAATGAAAATGAACTCTTTTTTTAGTTTAAAAACTTAAAGTATTAAAATAATAGAAATACTTTAAAATTATTACTTTTAATTCATAATAAATGTTTAATAATGAAAATATTATTTCATATTTTCATTACAGTATACTTAGTGTTCTTTAAATACTCTTTCTTTTTAATTTATAAAGCTAAAAATGTGCAAGCTAGTTCTGTAAAATATCAATAAAAGATTTCTTTTTGCAAAACCCTATTTGTTCAACATGAATAATTAACAAGTTGGTATAAAAATGCAGTAACAAGCTTAAAACAACCCCTGCTCCAGCTTAAAATTTACACTTTGCATAATTTAAATACTTCACCAGTAGTCTGGTACAACTTTATATAAACTTTGTATTATGTATGGTTTATAGAACAAGGACATTACATTTGACAAGAAACACATTTACAGATCTTTCCACATTTAGAATTTAGTTTCAAACACAGGATCACCTAGTACTAAACAGATAAAAAAAAACATTGTAACATTACAAACTATTAGAAAAAATTGATGACCTATTTGCCTAAGAATTTTTTGATAAAATAAATTAATTACCTAATGGAATAACTCTTAATGTATTACATGCTAATGGAAAACTAAGGGTAAAGAAGTAGAAAAAATAAATATTGTATATATTCTTGTTGTATGTTAATTTAAAAAATTTTTATGTACAAAACACACGGTTGTTAGGTGTAACTGTTAAATTGAACAAAATACCGGTTAAATTGAACAAAATATCGATTATTGTATTCTATACTTGGTAAAAAATTAACTTCTAACAACAATTGATAGTAAATAAAATTAATGAAATTTTGAAATTCATATTTATTATGTCATCATATAACACTATATAACAATACTTTTAAAGAACATAAACAAAAAAAAAAAAAAATTTGTTAGCTCTGGAAAAATAAATTATAAGAGTTTAATATGTAATAACTTTTTGCTATAATAAAAAAAAATCAAGTGTCTTTTTTTCTTCGAATTTTTATGGATACCTCAGATAATTTTACTACAATAAACACAATTTTTTAATTATGAATTAATCCATCAAGGCTACAACTTAATTAAAGTCATTTTAGGTTAAACAAAAAAACATAGTATGAAAACTGAATCAGTTTACTTTTCTAATAACTTTGTTTCTTTTTTTCATTACTTTAATTCAATTATTAGTAATAATTGAAAAAAGTTAACAAAATACACATGATTATGATATCACAAAAACGCAAATAATTTTAGCACTTTTTGTATTGTAATAATATTACAATACAAAAAAGTGCCAAATCATTTGCATTTTTTTGATGCCATAATCCATCTGTATTTGGTTAACTTTTTTGACTTAAGTACTTATTCTTGCTAGTAATGCCAGTGATATAATGTATGATATAACTGTACACATAACTAATGCTCAGTAGACAAAAATAAATTTCTCTTCTTTTTTTAAGTTTTTAAATAGAGTTTTAATATCTAATTGTCATCTTTTTATAAAAGTTAATGTAGCCTGCCAAACTTCATTTAAATCTTCGCAAAAACTTTACTGGTTTAAGGATGTTTTATTAGAGTTGTGTAGTAAAAAATACATTTAAAAAAAATTGAAAATAAACTCTCCTAAGAGGATCCTCAGAATTCATAAACTCACAGCTAGATTAGCAATCAGTACAAATTTTCTTTTTGAAAAACTCTAATATTCAACTCTTTATAATCAAAAGCATAAATAAAGTACTTCACAAGTAGTCTGTGAAAACTGCATATGTATAAACTTTGTATGTATAAAAGTATTTCACCAGTAGTCTGGTAAAATTGCATATAAACTTTGTATGCCTAAAGTAATTCGCCAGTAGTCTGGCACAACTGCAAATGAACTTTGTATTTGATTATGCTTCAAGGCCAAGGACATTTTATATATATTTTACGAGAAAGATTACTACAATAAAATGAATTTTCTGTAATAGAACACAGAAATTTATTTATTTGTTTTGACTTTATTTATATTTTTCAACAGTGTGCATTAGCCTCTTTTTCAAAATCAGCGAATCGGATTGCTTATATTTCTGCCTGTTCTGAGCCTGTATAGGTTTACAAAATATGCTTCTCGATGAAAGGTTTTGTCAAGCATTCATAATAAAGTCAACACAGGCTTGGTCGGGAAGTGGGTGCGATTGCACTCGATAACTGACCACAGAAATAATATTTAGTAGCGAAAAACGGGCCAGATTTTTTAGTCGTTTTGAGAACATTTAAGTTTATGTATGTTTCCTTGTTTGTCTGCAAAATAATAAGTTCATTTTATCGTAAATTTTAAAATAATTTGTTTAACGGACTTACATGGAAACATGCATAAACTTGAATGTTCTCAAACATCTTAGAAAAAATAAAAAAAGAATTTTTGTGAACACAAAAAACCCGCCAAATCTACGAGCAACTAATTCTATTGGTTTAAAAAAATACTAACCGAAATTTCTAGAGTATTCAAAAAATACTAACTGAATGTCCTAAGTATTCTATTAAAATATTTTAAAAAATATTATTTTTTGAATTTTGTTTCGTTTTTGTTGAGATTGCTAGCATAAATTATTTTAAGAATATACTATCAAACGAACTATTATTTTAATTCTTGGAGTCACATCTACAAAGCTATAAATGTTTTAAACTAACATTATTTGGTTACAATAATAAATGTTTTAAATTTATATTTTTTAACTTGACAACGTTTTGTAAATATAGTATAGATTTTATTAGTATATTTTTATTTTTTATATATAAGGGATGTAATTTTTATGTATGTAATGTATTTTTATGTATGTAAAGTATTTTTATGTATGTAATGTATTTTTATGTATGTAATGTACTTTTATTTATGTAATTTTATGTATGTGTATTTTATTCAAATGTAATCATTTAACGCAATTTGTGTTATTGATTTTGTAAACAAAAATACTTTCAATAATAACTGTGTTTTCAATGAAATTATTAATAATCGTCAAAATTAATACAGAAAATTTTAACCACTAATCCATTTTCCTCAGTGTACCCGATAACTGATTCTTTCTCCCAAGAAAGAAAAGTTTTAAAGTTCTTAGAAATTGGTTTACTAACTTCAATCATTTTTGCTTCAGCCATTCTTACAAACTTGTTATACTTAAAGTTACTTTTTCTGTTTTAAATACTAATTAAAATTATAAAGCCCATTCACTAAACATCACCAGCAGTATTTGAAGCAGTTCCGCTTCCTCCTCACAAAGTAATTTAACGCTTTTTGTTAATTTCTACTTAGCTAATTGAATTTATACAGTAACTCAATGATATTATTATTTCATTTGTTTATCTTACTAAGAAGAATTGTTTCAAATGTGTTGAACTTTTTAAACTACGCGAAGCATAAAACAGCTATTGAAAAAACACTTTTATTTATAAATCATCTGGTTGAATCTTGTTAGACTCATCAGGGCCGGGGGCTGCATTATTTTGGCGGCCGTTTTATGTGCCACAGCATAAAAATGACTAAAAAAAATACCAAATGGTCCTCTTGACTATTTCTCCTAACACTGTGAGTCCCGGGGCTATAGCCCTACTACCCCCACCTCACCTCCTCAATCCAGCACTGGAAATAAGAAATAAAAATTATATATACTCTTTGATAAATCGAAGAATATTTGTTTCTTTATAGTTGTTACTTTATATAAAAAATGTTGCTTAATTTTATAAAAAAAGTTATAAAAGAGCGACGTTTCAAAAATAAATTTATTTTGCTCTAATAAATTTATTTTGCTTAAAGTTTTTTCGCGTTAAAAGCTATTTTTCTTTTTTTAACTGTCTCTCATCGGTCCAGTTAATTTTAATGCGCTTTTTTGTTTGTTTTTGAAATGTTCTCAAAACGACTAAAAAATCTGGCCGGTTTTTCGCAACTAAATAATATTTCCGTGGTCGTTTATCAAGTGTGATTGCACCCGCTTCCCGATCAAGCCTGCAACATAATCATAATAAATGTCATAAATTAAAATAGCATCATCATAAAATAGCATAAATTAAAGAATTTCAAAAGAACAAGGTAAGATAAAGATAGTATTTATTGAAAATATGGGAAAAAAAAAAATGCTGGAGTCAACATAACTATTGGCCAATAGTATTTTGTGAATTTACGATTTATTTGCGTACAATTTTTAATGAGCCATAATTAAAAAAATTCCAAAACCAACTGTGCAAAAACAATTAACTTTAATGGCTTGACTTAAAAATAATTATTTTAGAGTAAATTTTATGCATCCATATTTACTAAAAGAAAACATGGTTACAATAAAATTTCAAAATGGCCAAGACAACTGTTGGACCATTAGGAGTTGGTAGTTCCAATTTGGCATTTTTCATATTACATTGAAATGTTCAAATTTCAACACTGGTTGAAATTTGATGATAATTTGAGGGGTGGATGGAACGACTGTCCTCCTTTTACATGAAATTATTTCAAAAAACTTGGCGCTGTTAATTTAAGAAAAAAAAAAAAACATAAAAAAACAAACAATATATTATATGCTATAAATTACCACATTTAAAAAAAATAAAATCTTTTGAACTTAAGATTGTCTTTCTTCATGATGATGAAAAAATGGTGAATGTGAAAGTTAATTGGATTAATTGGATAAATATTTACCATCAGTTAAATCTGTTCCCTCAGCCGTCATACGAAAAGCAGTCGGCTGTGGAGTTCCTGTGATAAATTCTCATTGTTAGTAATTAAAATTTACAAAATATACATTTTGACAAATACACAACATCCAAATAATCAAACATCAACATACTAAACACAACTAAATGTAACAATTTTTTCTTAAGCCTAATATCTGTGGCTTTACACTTGTATGGCTTAAAGTTTCCATAAAGCCATTTTTGTATTTAAATATGATATTATGGAAAATTTGAAGCAACTTATAAATAAATACCCAACCTGGCTTAAAACAGTCTTGCAGATCTGAGTGTTTTTATTGTGATTCTACCACAAATAAGATAGCCATTAACATTAGCAAGGTTGCTCCTTCTTCCGATAAGCACAATTAATTTAAGGGGTATATAAAGTTTTTCCTTCTCAAAGATAAGTTTTTATAACCAGTACAAAACTACATTTAAGTAAATCAATAATATTACGCATAAAAACTTGTTTTCTACATAATATTATTTTTCTATTACCCACTAAACTTTTTTACTAGCATAGAAGAAAAGTGTTCTGCCACACAAGCACACCTACAAAATCAGTAATCCATTATTTTGCCATTACTTTATTTATTTTATATTATTTTTTGATTTATGTGGTAGTGGTATAGTTGTAGAGCGCTTGCCTCATAAGCAAAAAGTTCCAAGCTCAATCCCTGCCATGTCCTTGGTAGTACTGTGCTTAACTTGTTTCTCTGTCAAGAGGCCTTGTTCTTAAAGGTTCGTGTTTCAGAGTTATCAAGTAGTGAGAAAGGGGTGTAACTAGAAAAAAAGTAGCCTCCTCGACTGTAGTGGTCTTCTTGGGCTTATGGTGGTGAATTAAGATTTTAAAAAAATTGTTTATGTAAAACATATATAAATAATATCATTAAATAAATACCATAAAAATAACAGCATGTTTATAAATAATATCATAAAAAAATTAATGAAAACATGCCACACAGATTTTATTTGATGACTTTTACAGCTGATTTTAAAAAATATTTTAATGAGTATTTGTCTTTATAAAGTGATGATTTTTTGTATTTTTTAAATTCAAATATATGTAAAAGTGCCACAAAGGTAACAAACAGCATAGTACACAAAAACTTATTTTGAAAGTTTTTTAGCATATATGTAGAATTATTTGAAATTTTGTTAATATTTACCTCAATATTCAAAAACAAAAATGGAGGAATTTTTCATGAATTTAAACATGTTATTATTTACAAATAAAAGCTTAATAAAAGAAAAAAAAATAATTTAAAATGCTATTGATGATATAACATGAAATTATTTTACAACTAAATTGGACATTATAGGTGGATAAGAGTGAAAATTTTTTGACTGATTCATAACACTTTTCAAAAGCTTTCTGTTCTTCTGATACTTATTTTCCTTATTATCACGTAAATGTCTGTTTTGACATCAACATGACCGTTAACCATAAACTTTCCTAAACATTATTGAAATAATAAATAAATAATTATTGCTGCCCAAAAATACATAAATTATAAGCTAACAAACATAAAGCATTCTACAACAATATGAACGATAACAACCTGCATCAAATTTACAAAAAAATTTCTAAATTGACTAACAAGTAAATAAACTCATAATTTCTTTTTTTAAATTTTTTTTACAGTTGGTTTGACCAACAACAATTTGTAATGATAATTTTTTAAATTAGTTTTCTTCTATATTTCACCTGCCTGTGTCAGACAACAAAAGATAAAACAACAATTATCATATATATATATATATATATATATATATATATATATATATATATATATATATATATATATATATATATATATATATATATATATATATATATAGACACGCACACATATAACATGCACTAACAGTAAATAATAAATTTGTGCTAACATTAATATTCTATAACTACATAGCTTAAATAACAAACCTTCATTTTGAAGCTGATTTTCTAGTCGAGCAAATGATCCTTGACCTTGGTTGACATGAGTATTTTGTAGCATTTTGAGAACATCTGAATCTATTTCTTTAGGATTGTTTTTTTCTTCTTTGTATTTTTCTAGTTCTTCTTTCCTGGTAAAATAATAATACTTACACAGCAAGCAACTTTTAAAAGAAACCATACATAGATGTTCAGACTTAAATGCTTAAATTAAAACATGTATGCTCAGATACAAGTGAAATTTTAATAAAACTTGAATAATGAAAAAAACATAGCCATTTTTATATTTAGTCACATTGAAATTTATTATCAATTAAAGACATTTAATAAAGATTGTCGTAGCAAATAACCAATGGTTGCTAAATTCTTAAATAGCTGTTTTTTCCAACACAAGGTAATGTAGAAACATAAATGTTTTCATAGAAATAAATGTTTCCATGGAAATAAAGATCTTAGCAACAATTTAAAATAATTTATTTTTAAATTTAAAGATATAGTGTAGTCAAAATAAATTTAAATTAAGACCTTAACCCTTTTAACTTTTATCAGTTTATAGATTTTGGGGATAACATGGTTAATGCAAAGAGATGTAGTACAGATGCAATAATCCACTAACTTAAAAAGCAAAAAGGTGTATTTTAAAGTGATGCTGTCAATTAAGGTTATGCAGAGACAGTTAATAATGATAAATGGTAGAACAACATAATAACTCAAGTCAACCTGGAAAGTGATGTCGAAGTTTATCTACCCAAAAGGTCCATTTGCATAATTTTAATGACCTCAAGCGATGACTTTATTGGTAACACCAAAATTTTGAAAAATTAAAAAATCTCTGTTTCATTAGCTTGCTCTAGTTCTGGTAGAAACAGTTGAAAACATGGAAAAAGAAGAAGTATATAGAAAAATGCTAAAATATCTGCATATTGAAACCTTTTTTTCTTTTCTTTTACATAAAAGCAAGTGAGCAACATGAAAGCAATTGAGCAACATAAAAGTAACTGAGCAAAATAAAAGCAACTGAGCAACATAAAAGCAACCAGGATTATTTTAAAAAACCTCCTGCTTTTTGTTTGCTGTTTCTTTTTCTTATAATACTTGCTTTTGTTTGAGAAGCTAAAAACAAACTTTGATCAAATAATGTTCAGATTTCCACTATTATATCAATTATTTTACTACTATAAATTAATGAAAAAATCAGACTTATATTCAAACAATATATGAAACTAATGCTGTTGAATATATATTAATGAGCAAGCTGTGCCAAGAGCAATCAGAACAGATTTTACACGAATCTACTCTATTTATGAAACCTTTTCTAAAGAAAATCCATTTCTGATAATACTAAAATTATTTTATTTTAGTAATGTAGAATTTCTATTTTTGTTTTTCCTTCAGAAATTCAACTTCTGATACCAATAAATATGATAATAATTCATAATAACTTATATATAATACAAATATATATTAATATATATATATATATATATAGATAGGATTAATCTAAAAAGTATTTTTATTTTTAACTAAACGTAAATTTCTGAAAATTTTGAACAAATTTGTTTGAAAAAAGAAAATAATAACAAAACAAATTGATATATTTGAATAAAATTAGATTGTAATAATAAAATAAAAACTTAAAAAATGTTTCTTATATTATAAATTTGAAAACTATTTTAAAAAGATACTTTTTAAAATTATATTTGTAATTTATTATAAATATAATTTGTAATTTAAACTGTATTTAAAAAATAATAAATAAAAAATTTGAAATATAAAATAAAATAAAAAATTTGAACTATAAATTTTTTTATTTCATAGCTCAATTAAAAAATTCAACTTTGCATTTAAAACAATATAAAAAATGATTATAGCTCTTACTTTTTTCTTGCATATTCTGCAGGATCAAACTTCTTGCCAGACACAGCAGCACTAGCAGTTGGCTCAGTAGTGCCAAAAGCTCGTGGCTTAGCATTATATTTATGGTCAACACCAGCAGAATGTACAGTTTCAGTTACATACAAAGTTTGACTTGGATTTGCAGCAAATGCACCACTACCAACTTGCTTTATTTCACCTAGTGACACACCTTTGCCAGGCCTAAAAAAGTTTATCTAACAACTTCAATTTTCCAAATTACAAAATCATCATCATCATTATCATTATCGTCATCATTATTGTTTAAAAAAAATATTATCTCACTTTAGTTTAAGTTGCAGTTTGTCACCAGCATTTTTTATAATATTTTGAGCCTCCATATGAGTCAGTGTTTCAGTTGGTGTGTAATTAATTTCCATTATTTGATCGCCATCAATAAGTCTTTTGTTAGCAGCTTTGCTTCCGGGTGTTACCTAAAAAATTTTATAACAATATCAAAATTCTTCATTTTAACTTTGCAAATACCTAAAAAAGCATAAAAATCTTAAAAAAAAACTTTTATATAACACTTTTTTCACAAATTTTTTCCTTAATTCACAGAAGCTAGGGTCATAATCATTCCTTAGAAAAACAAACCTTTACAGAAAACTATCAGTCCTAACAATACAAATAAAATAAGACCATTATGGAGATAATTATGGAAATAACTTATACTACCTGCTAATCAACTAACAATTTAAATTTTATAAACTGACTAAAACCATAAATAAATTTCTAAATAAGTAAACATACAAAATCAAGCAAAAAACTTTTTTGAGTTTTCACAATAAAAAAAACTTTCTAAAACAGTATATTTACAAAAAATTAAGTTTCAATAAAATAAAAATAACTTTAATTTTATTTTTAAATGCACTTTAATAATTCTTAAATGTACTTTAATCCAATATAAGAAAGGATTTTATACTCTTAGTAAATTTTGTACTCATATTTAAAGCCTTGGTTCATAGAGAAGGAACAAAATATATCAGAATATTGAACAATAGATGAATAATAAATTATATCCCATTAGCAAGAAAAAAATTAAAAAAATATATTTATATATTTTTTAGTACAAAAACAACCATTGGTTTTTCCAACTAACATTTTCTAATTCATGTGTTTTATTATCAAAAACCTTTTAGCAAAACCACATAACGATTCATAGCAAAGTTTTTGTTTATTTGTAGGTTGGTTGGAAAAAACTATTTTATACAAACCTAAAACATTTTTTCACCAAACACTGTTTGTTATTTAAAGTTCATAGGTGACAATATTTTGGTACACATAATAAAACTGAAATAAATTCTTGGTCTGATATTTAATGATTAATGTGTACTATGTTTTTCTTATGAGTTAGAACATTGTATTACTATTTAGTGAAAGACGTTTCAGATTTGCATAGAAAATCCTGCTACTTTGAGTATCTAAGAATGCATTATCCATATTTTAGGTGACAATATTTTAGTACATATAAAAAGCAAATTTAACATAAACTTTAGTTTTCAGTCTAATATGAAGTATTTCAATGGTGATTAATGTGTACTGAGTTTTTCTTATAAGTTAGAGGATTATATTACAGATATTGTTGGGTAAAAGACATTCCAGGTTTGCATAAAAAATCCTGATTTTCTAAGTATCAAAGAATGCATAATCTATATTAAAAGAATCATGTGTCTTTTATGATATACCACTATTTTTGAACCTACAGTAGTAGAAACTTTATTAAGAAATAAAGGTACTACAGCATTTTAATATCTTACTCGTGCAATATTTAAAGGTATTCCAAAATCTTTGCCTCCTTGGAGACGAATTCCCCATGGACCACCACCATCCAATATCACTTCATATAAATCACTGCTCATTTTTCAAAATATTAGTTTTGACAGTGCACTGTTTAGCTATTATGTTCGACTATAACAGCATTTGATCTTCAGGAAAGCAGCTTGTCTGAGTAATTTTTGTAGACACCTCGGACACACGCATCTGAATTTTATGAGGGTGGGACATCTTACGCGATAATTTTCTCGTAAACATCCATTGTGTTTAAATTATTTATTTGTTATTATTGTTCCTTATATGGTTGGAGTTATTTGCAAATCAAAACTCGCGGGAGCTTCATATACCGCGGGATAAACCGTGAACACACTTACTGAAATTTTTAATATCGTATATTTTCATAGGATAGCAAATTCCTCAACTTTTTTATTTTATCTGCTAGAGTATTTAATAATATTTAGTCACTTTTATCTTATAGGCGTGCAATTATTAATGTCTTTTTGAATAAAATGAATAACGCTTCCGATTACTATTTATCGTTGTGACATCGGTAACCATTTATCATTATAGACACACTAAAACACAAAAACTTTTGAAAAAAAATAAGTAATTTTTTTTAAATCTTAATTTTTATTCATTGCATAGGAAATTTGTTATCGGAAATTTGGTTGTATAGACGGAATAAATGGATTGTAAAACGTTTGTGAAAACAAATTGGATTTTTTAAATTTATTTTGCTTTCTAAAAAGCTTATTGAATTGTTGGAACTATGTCATTTTTATCTTTTAATTTATTTTACATTTTTATGTTTTATATTTTATTTATATTTTTGAGCACCAAAATTTCTGCCGAAAGTTTGTTCACAAAAATAAAAATAAAAAATTAACAAGTTTTTTTTTTAATTAATTCCCTTTACATATAAAAAATGTTAATGTTTTTTTAGTATGTAAAGTTAGGAAAATCTTATTTTTATGCGTAAAGTTAGAACTTACCTAAAAAATATAGAGAAAGTAAGCACAAAAATAAACATTTATTAGTTTAAAATCTGGCAAACCGTAAGCGAAACCGCGAAAACAGAACATTAACGGACAAATGAGGCAATTAGTATTTGCTTAATCCGTTTCTAAAAGCAATTTAAGTAAGAAAAAAAACAAATATTTTTTACTTGGACGTTTTTATACAATTCATAATGTTTAGACGTTTACTTTACCCATATTTATTTGCACTAAAATTAAATAAACTTGGTGATTTTTTTTGATTAAGAAATATTTTGACTTGAGTTATAAGCAGTTCAAACGAATGCTTGAGTTAAACAAAGCCTAACTTTAAATAGATGAAAAAATTGAATAAAAGGAGGAGACATACAAATTAATAATTAAAAATGATCGATGATTTTCAACCTATGCTTAAGTCATTACATTATTTAATAAAAAGTCGATTACAACATGAAGATTTAAAAAAAAATTTAATCCTAAAGTTAATTACTAAAACCATAAGTTGTTTGACTGAAATTGTAAATAACAATTTTTTTACAGCAGCCTCTTAATATATAACATCAGTGTGCCAATGCCTAAATAAATCAGTCAATATATGTACACTAAAGTAGGTCTTTTCCGAATAAATCATTTGCGGACGTAAATTGCATGTAGTTGAAATTGAGACGCACGTAGTGAAACGCACGTAGTTGAAATTGAAGTAAAGAAAGTCTACAATGTAAAAAAATTCAAACGTATTTTTGCAAATGTGCTATTGGAACAAATGCAAGACGAGAACTGAAATCTTTGTTTTTCATTCTATTTGGAATGCAACTGACACCAAGGTAGTTTAAAAAGTAAATAAGAAACGCCACAGAAAAGCAGTTCATAACAAGCATAATGGCGGTTAATGTAATATTATTGTAATGAAGTTTAACAAGTACCCGCTAATAATAATAAATTTGAAACTTTTTTTTAGAGTGAACACAATCTTAGGTAAACAAGTAAGGCTGGCCGCTTACACAGCGCTTAACAAGAATTCTGTGAATTTCATTTAAAGAAAGAAAATTTTTTTAAACTATGTAGTTGTATTACTTGAATATATTATACAATATTTTAGTTAGAGGCTTGTTTTAAAAGTTCGATTGAACTGTACTGCGAAACTTAGAAGTATTATAATCATATATATTTTGAACATTTTTATTTTAAGTATATATTATAATAATCGACTTTAGTAGCTTAATTATTATGCAAATAAAATCTTGAAGTAAATCATTATTATATTTTAATAAAATACTCATTAAAAAGAAATAATAATAATAATACATTATAATTTTTTTTGAACCATATAAATTTAATAAGTTTATTTAAAAAAGGAAGAATGAACTTAAAAATTTCTTAATGTAGTATTCGTTTTTGAGCTGATCTTTAGAATTTTGATGTTTTGTTAACAATCTTAATTAATTTTATATTAAAAATGTGTTTTACACTTTATTTATAAACAAGTGTAATAAATGTTTAAACAAACAAGTAAAATAAATGTTTAAATAAACAAGTGTATTAAATGTTTGGATAAACAAGTGTAATAAATGTTTAAACAAACAAGTATAACAAACAAATGTTATAAGTTTTTTTTCCTATATACTGCAGGAAAAAATTTATGACACTTTCCTATTTTTTTAATTTAACAAATGAAAAAAAATGTTGCAGATACATAATATATAAATAATAACTGTGGAATTTGACATAAACTAAAATAAAACAACAGATATTGAACCCCCTCCCTCATAAAAAAGCGAAACAACTAAAAAACATTAAATCGTTTTTTTTAACACCTTACCTACTTTTTTTAATTTTTTTTTTTTTTATCATCTTTTTTTTCTGATTATATAATAAAATTGTACACAGGTTTTCATTTAATAAAATGTAACGAAAAAACTAAAACTTCACATTTTAAATCAGAATTTGGCTAGAAGAAGATACGGACGATAAGATTATCACCACAATCTTTTCATAGATAAAGAAGATAAGATTATCACCACAATCTTTTCATAGAGTCCCTACAAAAGTTTTCTTAAAAAATTAAATAAACCGTTCAAGTTTCATTGTTTTCATCACACGGGTTGCAATATCTAATTTATTCATAAAATTTATTTCTTTACATGCATGGTTTTGAATTCTTTGTAGTTTTTTTAATTTTGTTTTATGAGTGAAAGCTTATACAATATTATATAATGTAAATTGAATAAATAAAAAAAAAAAAAAAATTTACCGTTTGAAAGATGAATATGGTCAAAACTAAAGCACCACATTTTTCGCGAATTTAATATCAAGAAAATATCTCGATTTATACATTATTAATGCAGAAGTTATTTTTGATTCTTTGAGACCTATATGGTTTCTCTATGATAAAGTTTCATCAAATATGGTTCCTAAAAACTTTCTTGAATTAGGTAAGCGGAGCAAGATAGCAAACGTTTTGAAAGCCCTTAGTTATTGCAAAACTATCAGTCATGAAGGAGTAATACTTTGTTAGAATGTACATGTTATCATAATGATTAATTGCATAAATTTTCAGTTTGCAAGTAGGAAAATTTGAAACAAAAATTGAAATAAAAAGTTCATATGTATGTCATCTGGTCACGTGACCGGGGCAAGATGACTAGTTATGCAATTTCTCCAATTTTATAAAAATTTAAAACTGCCAATTGTTTCAATGACATTTCTTGTAGTACTTAATAATTTATTTAATCTATAAAACATAAAACACAGCTAAATATTAATTTTTAATTTATTTGTGTAATATTTCAGTCTAATTAGCTCAGACCGTCGTCAGACGTAAAATAAAATACAATAAGAATCTCACAAAAAACGTACGTAAAAAACCGTTTAGAAGACATTACAAAGATGAGCTGACGTAACGGGCAAAAAACAACAACAAACAAACAAAAAAAAACAAAAAACTACCAACTAAAGAAACATGCGTCGCAAAAAAATATTCCCAAAAAAGTTGCGCACGAAGGAATTATTCATTATGGATGATCGAAAGCAATTTTTTTCAAGTTTATAGGCTTTAAATCAGAGATTAAAATTTTTGAGTTGTATGAACTTCGAACTCAAAAACTCCAATCCAAAGACTCTGTTTGAAACTAAAGTTTCAAACAGAGTATTTGGATTGGAGTGATTGAAAAACAATACCGTTTTCTTGTTTGTTTAAACATTTTTGAACTTTAAAATTTTGTGACGGTTTTTGTCTTGTATATTTCATTGAAAATCACAATATGTAGTCATGAAGCTTGGGTTCACTTAAAAAAATTTAAAATTTAGTTGCAACGCCAGTAGGCATAAGTTGTCCAGGGGACGTCTGCTGGATGTCTCACGGATCTGTAAGATGTTAAACGGTCGTCCCCCAGACGACACGAGCCCATTACGACGAAATAATATAGAAATATAAACTTTTGTTGATAAGATTCTAATCTCTATTTCATTTCGTTTTATATTTCGTTGTTAAAATAAATTACAGATGAGTTTTACATGGTAAATATCAGTAAATAAAATATTTTAAAAACAGGCGGGGACTCAAAGAAGATATGGATGATGCAATATCACCTCAATTTTTCATAGAGCTCCTTAATATAATAAAATATTGATATTTCATATTATAAAATAGTCAAAAAGAGTTATAGAAATCCAAGATATACAAGTAACAAAATAAAAAATATACAAAATAAACTAAAGGTATAACAAGAAAAACTTATTTTAACAAATACAAAGATATTTTGCAATAACAAGATATTTGAATAATAAGTTATTTGATAAACCCATATCCATAAATTGCATTTTTTAAAACCTTTTTTTAGCAATCATTTTAACAGCGTCTTAACAACCACCTTACAGCATCTTAACGATTATCTTAGCAACCATCTTTCTAAACATTGAGTAAAGCTGCATGTTTTTTACAAAACATGCAGCTACACTCAACGACTTCGGGTAAACTTCGGGTAAACGTGTGCCATTATAAATTTTCCAAAAACTTATGTATAAAAATATAAACTAAATATTATTCTGAAAAGCAATCTGCTTGCTGATATTGTTGAAAACAAATTTTATTATTTTTTTAAAGTAAAGAACGGTTTTAGCAAAGCTAATTTAAATAAAGTAATGTGAGGTGTGCACCCGTTAATTTAATTTAATTTAAAAACTTTGCCGTTGATAATCTAAAATAGTGTTTGTATTTATAAATCAAATTTACAATAAATAAAAAATCAAGAAACAATCAAAGTTTCAATAAAAAAGAAAGTGAAAAAAGAATAAATAGTTAAAAAAGGCTTGCAAATAAAAAAGCCTCTATAAATCTAAATTACGACTTTTATATTTTACATTTCCAATAAATAAAAAAACAGGGAGCGATGAAAATTTCAATTAACGAGAAAGTTGAAAGAAAAAAAATAAAGAATTCAAAAATAACAAGTTTAAAAAAATAATTTTTGCTTTGCTAATTTATACAAATTTTTGAAAACAAATTACTTTTATAAAGACATGACATCATTATCAAGAGAGTTCCAAAGGGAGGTGGCGTACAAAAGGGATGTGGCTCTGTACAAAACGCTGTTTAAGATCTTTTTAAAATTTTTATTTTATAAGACTAATAGAGTCAATAAATATTAGGAATCCATAAATTATTTTAACTGTAAAAATGTTTGTTCTAAAAACTACTCTATTAAATGGTATATTGTTTATTGCAGCAGTTTTGATTAAAAAAAATAAATAAATCGAGAATAAGTTAATTATACACAGTGGATATTTGAAAGAACTAGTGGATACACAGTGGATATTTGAAAGAACTAAAAGATAAGAAATTATAGTAAGAACTTTTTAAGAGTTTAAAATTTGCTCTTGTGTACTATACATCTGTTTAAATAAACTTGTGTAAATGGTCTGACAAATAGGTGATTAAGGTAATGTTGGATAGCTAAACACTTTTATTTTGGGTAAATAAACAACATAAAAAAAAGCTTTTACTATTGAAATATAAAACAAAATAAATAATTTAAATTTTACAACTTTTGTTGTTAATTTTTTATAACCTAAATTCCATAAAGAGTCCAACCTAGAGTACACTATAATCAAGGTATCAAATCTTTTTTTAAGTTATACCCTATCAACATATCATCTAGGTTTGTGTTTTAAAGTTATAGAGTTGCAACCTAATAATACTGAAATACGGATCTTCCCTACAATTACATTTCTCCCATGTAAACTATTACTGTAAAATTTATACAGTAGTAGAGGAAGGGGAAGGTTATACTGTATTACATTATAATATCCTATATTATACTTTAACAAACCTCGTTATAAAACAGTCGTGCCTTTCGTAGTAAATTCTAATACTTTTTGAAGTTTTTAGCAACACATATGTGTTAATATGTTGTTGTTGCGCTTTATATACTGTTGCTGTACTTTATATTCCAAAGAACAATTGGGATTTTATTCCGGGTTTTGGTTAAATACATATTTAAATCTAAGCTCAAGTGAGACAAAAAAAAAACAAGATTGAATAACAAACAATTGTGAGCCTTGTCAACTCCAATTACAATATGCATAGGTTGATCATGACATTAAACTTGCGTTATTTATTTTTCTACTTTTAATTTTTATGGTAAATCTGCAGTTAAGCGGCGTAAAATAATTTTATTTGTTTGTTTATTGCGCTCTCGTCAGTGGAGGTTTTTTAAAGATTAAAAATATTAATTGAAACAGTAAAAGAAAAAAGATTGCTGTTCCATGCCAAACCCTCAGTCGATGTAGCAGCACTTCCTTTTAGCAGTAGGCTATAAGATAGTCAATGTAGCATTACTTCCTGGTAGCAGCAGGCTATAAGATAGTTGATGTATGTACTGAAGCTAATAAATATTTTTGTTTATATTAAAAAGACACCACTTTGAGCTAGTCTGCACCCGAGATCGTAACAAACGAAAAAACAAGATTATTTTACGCCGATACTGCAGATTTACCATTTCTATTTTTATTTTATTATTTATTTTGAAAGTATTATGCGTTTTTGTTCTCAGTTTATTTTTCCAAAGCTAGCTTCTAATTCAGCACAATAAATTGTCTTT